TGGTGCAACGTGACACACCTGAGTCACCACTGTCACACAGTTCACAGATCAACGACTTGCCTGTGGAAGTGCTGTCTTGCATTCTTAGCAAGGTCATAGAATTGCTCACCCAGAAGTTTGGTTGCAGCTTGCCTACATCTCCATCTACAATCTAATAATTGACAAACAAAATTAATGCAGAGTCCTGATTAACTGTGTAAACAAAAACAAGTTGTTGGGAGAGAAAAGCAAACTGGTGGGGAGCCAGGGGAGCAAGAAAGTGAGCCTGTTCTGATCTCTGTAAATTTTTCAGTTGATCAACTTCAGAAACCACAGCAATCTAGCAAGAAGTAAATTAAATTTCAATGGAAGCAGTAAAAGTCGGACAGTAACATTCCCAGCAGCTAACCTGCAGGGAACCCACTCTGCACAAGTTATTCCCTGTGACTTTCCTTCAGCAATCTGTTCCAGAATGACGCTGGTAAGGAAGTGTACTAACAAGCCTTTGGCATATATTTTCATAGTTGGCTAATAGGCCATATTTGTATCCTCTGTATTGGACTGGAACTAACTTGTAATGCAGGCTGATACAGGGAAATATCATTAAAAGAGATCAATGTCATTTGCATTTGAAAAGACTCCACACATTAGCCTCAGTTGTCAGACTGTTGCTGTCACATATCTTTGAAGCACTTACACAAGTCTTGTTTCATATTCAGTCGCCAGTATGACATTATTATAATTAGTACATTACAATTAGTACATTACAATTCATCATCAGATAGCTGACAGCTATATGCTGCTCTTTTAACCAGAAAGTGAATAGAGCTTGACTGAATAAAACACTAGAGAGGTATTGCAGCCAACACCATACTAACACTCCACATTGATGTCATTACAAAAACTAAACTGGCAAATATAAACCCAGTCCCACAATCCAATCACTCCTCATCAAACATAATTGATAGGCAGCTTTCTCACTTTCCTTGCTTCTTGGCCAATTACAGTACTTCACTTTGCTCAGGAAAAAACAAAACATGAAAAAGCAGGCTCAAAATCTTGCACCCCTTGGGTTCCCTGCCAGTTGGCTTCACTTGCTAAATTGCTCTTGTGGCTTTCCCCTTAGGTACTGGTCAAAAAGTATAGGAGTGGGGTAGGGTGGACTAGAACAAAAAACAAATTGACACTTATAATGGCTCAAAATGGCCAAAGAAGCCCAAGGATCTAGTCCACAAATATCATTTTTATGGAGTGTTGGACAATTTATAAAGCACCCTGCAGAATGAAGTTCTTCTTGCTTACAGCAACATTGGAAGAATCCTTTGCCGAATAAGTGTACACTGTACATGATATAACCAATCTTTAAAATTTGATGGTCATCCAGAGAACTGATCACCATGGGAGACATAACACCAAAACCTCCAAGGTGGTGATTCAAGTGAGGAAGCATCGAACAACATCAAGACGACAACAGAAAGTAAAGGGGTATGATGTGATCTACATGTATGTATTTCATTAACCCATTTAACAGCATTAATTGGAGCAAGGAGAACTTTCTATTAGCTCAAAGAATACAGCCACGACAGCAGAAAACAGAAGATCAAAGGAAAAGGAGGCTGGAACACCAAAGGGAATACACAGAGAAATATAGACAGGCTTCATAAGTCAAGACTTAAAGTTTTAATTGAGAAGAAAAGAAAACAATATTGTTAGATGTGTAATTCACACCACAAGTTCATAGTATTACACAAAATGTGGTATCATTGGATTAGAGCAATTTTCAATCGAATGTCGTAAAACCAAAACCAAACGAATTACTTACAAATAAGACTACTCAGCCAATCTCAAACCATAGTAAAACCAAAACCAAAACCAAAGTAACTGCCTGAAAACTGCTCTATGCAACCAATGAATCATGTTTTATGGGAGGTGCTATAATTTTGAAACTTCATTTAATGGGGAAGGGGGGCTTAAAAGGAAGGGGTGTTTTTATCCACCACATTTCCAAATATTCCAGCACATCCACACCCCTAGATAGTTTTTGACCAGTCTCTTAGTGTGCACTTGTGTGACCTAAACAATCCAGCCTACATGCAATTACAGGCCATCTGGATTAGAAAATGTTTTTCTATTCTACAAATGCAGACATATTTCCAGCTGTTGCCTGTCTCCACCCATTTGTGACCTCTCATGAGAAAACGCACATTAACGGGTATCCATTTGAACGGCTAAAAACCGTTTGCTTGTCATTTGCCATCTGTTTGTGATCCCTTCATGATCAATGGGTTGGGGTTTGAACGGATTGGGTCATCCGTTCAGAAAAATTTCCGGCTGCTGCTATCCATTTGAAAAAAATCTTTATACCTTCGAACCACTGAGGTTATCCATTCGAAAAAATATTCATTTGTTCGAGTGGCTGAGGTCATCCGTTCAAAAAAATATTCATCCATTTGAACGGCTAAGGCTATCCATTCGAAAAAATAGTCATCCATTCCAACGGCTGACGTTATCTGTTCGAAAAAAAAAAGTCATCCATTCGAATGGCTGAGGTTATCTGTTCAAAAAAAAAATGCAACTGTTCGAACGGCTGATGTTGTCCCTTTGAAAGAAACTGCAGTGGTCCGAACGGCTGATGTTACCCGTTTGGAAAAAAAATAATAGTATTCACCTGTTTGAAGGGCTGCTGCTATCCATTCACACAAAACTAATCAGCCGTTCGATCGGCCAACGGTATCTGATGGGATTCAGGTTTCCGAACAGCTGGGATTGTCTGTTCAGAAGGGACTTTATTCAGCCACCAGAATGGCTGTGTTCATTCAAAACAAACATTCAACCTTTCTGATTTGAACAGCCACGTTTGTCCATTCTGAAACCTAGGGAAGAAGCATGGCGACAGAAACAACCTCTCCCTATTTTTTTTGTTTGCCATTTATTGCACTGCACCCCAACTAACTGAACTAAAACAACTTTGAAAACTTGTAACGCAGGTTCTAAAGGGCCATTGGATAAGACATTCTTTCTTTCTCTTTGGAAAACTCAGACTCAGAATATTACAAAACTAAATTGATTGACGTGGTATTAAGATTTTGTCAGTAAAATTTCAGTCTCAAACATTGTGTGTACAGTGGATTTTGTGGCAGGGTTTGTAAACTCAGGATTTGTAGGAAATAGACTGCATGCACATGACATTGTTTGCTAAGAGCCAAAGGAGAACTTGCCTCTACCAAAAGACAGACTGGACATAATTTTAAAATAAACTCTGGTGCTCTACTCTGAAGAGAGATGTTGTCAAACAAGACAGTATTATTGTTTTCTATTGACTTCTGTCGAAGTGCTTGATCTCTATAACAAAACTTGTGCTACAGGTCACACATAATGCGTCAACGAGTGGTACACAAATTTCAGCTTGTTTGGGAGGAGATGGACTCAGGTCCATTATGGAAAACAATTATTGCATACTTTACTCTGTAAAAAGCTTTTGGTATCCATTTCTAAGTTTTGTCAAGTCTTGAAAGAAGAAATGAAGAAGTATGCAATAAGAATTACAGCAATAGACTTACGAAAGGGGAGCAAAAACATATCCTGAATCAATACAACAGGATCTCCCTCATTTAGCCACTGAGCCGTTTATAACCAGTCATTCAATACGAACTCTTTTCTTCGACTGCTCAAATGCCTGGCATCATTCGTTCAAAATTTTTCATTAGCCATTCAAACGGCTGGCATCATCCATTTCAAATTTTTTGTCAGCACTTCGAACAGCTGGCATCATCTGTTCGAAATTTTTTGTTAGCCATTCAAACGGCTGGCCTCATTCATTCATTCATTCATTTCATTAAAGGTTTGAACAGCTGGCATCATCCATTTGAAATTTTTGCCCATGCCATTCAAACGTTTACAGCATCCGTTCGAAATTTTTCTATGACCATTCAAACAGTATTTGAAACCATCTCAAACAGCCAGAACATCCATTTCCCATCTGTTTGTTACCCTTTCATTTTGACCACTGAACAGATATCTGTTAGTGTACGTTTTCATGTGAGAGGTCACATTTCTTGCATCAGCTTGACTGAGCTTTTACTTCTCAATCTCAATGTTTAGATTTATAATACCTCCTTTGTTCATTCTGGCACCACATGATTCAAGTGTCACTGTTTACTGGTATGTGCACGGACTGTTGCTTAGTGAGGCTATCAAACCCAAAAACTTTGCCAAACCTTCTGAACACATCTTCCACTGACTCAAGATTGGACAACTTTTTTGCTCTATGCACGATTTCTGCATGTTACCTCTTCAGAAAAACAACGTGAAATGTGATTGGTCAGTAAGAGCTGACGTCACTGAAATCGATCTTTCACGCTGGTTTGAATTCACAGACGTTATTTTCGGGGGAAACAGGCGACAGCTGAAAATATGTCTCTGTTTGTAGACTAATGTCCTTCCTGAGAAAGAAACTTTTATTACATTCAAGGCTGCTTCTTAGCAGGCACCTGGTAGCCTGAGGCACCTAAGTTAAGAGTGCTGGTGGTTAAATTTTTCTTCAAGGAGCCCAAGTGGGCGCCTAAACATGGAGTTTTCATTCCCATCTAATCTGTCCAACGACTTCAATCCCTTGTAACCAGGAATTACAAGCAATTCCTGATTGTAACTTTGTTCCACCAGCTTAAAAATTCCCACCAACAAGCTTTCCAACCATTGCCAGTCATTAATCATACATGGGTACTGCTCATTCTCACCAGCCGAATGTTTCTCATAAAATTGGTCATAAAATCAGTCTCACAATAAATTAAAAAGAAAACAACAGTTGCCTAGGTCTTAGTTTGTTTTTATCATGAAAAATGCGGGCCAAATCACAGCAACAAAATCTCTCTCCACTCACAAAACAGCCAAAAACAGCCATGTTTGAAATTGCCCCATAATGCATTGCAAATTCAGTATTGAAAAAATCTACATCATGTATGCCAATAAATTGTGTCTCTGTTGATACCTTTCTGATGAGAAGGCAATATTCCAGTTGCAAAATAACTATTTTTGACAAAAAATATTTTTGGAAATGGAGTAATGATGCTGTTGCCATCATATTTAAACATAAAATACAAAGTTACATAATCATCCAGTTTCTGTTATAATTTACAATGCTCCACCGAGGAAAGCACATTTCAGTGAGAAGAAACTGGAATGCAACCCTTGCTTGTATACACCAATTATTGAAGTTAATTTATTTTGTTCAAATTACAACATAAATTATATTCCTCCTCAGTCATGACCATCGCTGAACACTTGATTCCAAAAAATTGATTGATGAAGTTCTAGTGTGATACCCCTGTGCCCCTCCCCAAAATTTACCAAGTTGCTCTAAACCTCCTCTCCTCCCCAAACCCCCAGCCCCCAGGATTGGCCACAGCAACTATTATGTGCTGGGCTCCCAAAAAAATGGCTTAGGCTCCTAACTTCAAAAGTTAGGAACCCAAAGGGCTCCTTAAAAATTTCCTTAGGTAACAGCCTTGAAAATAATGATGCATATCAACATTAATTTACACAACGCCATAGAAAATACAGCCAATTAGAATACAGAAAAGTCACTAGTCTCAAATACTTAAACCAAAGACATGTTCCAATTGTGCTTTTTAACTTACTCCTACATCCTGCCTGCACTCAGGGCACGTTATGACATGATCAGCTCCCTTTTTCTTCACCAGTTTCACAAGACACTCTTTACAGTAGGTGTGCAGACATGGTAGAACTTTTGGTTCCTTAAATTGTGCCAGGCAAACAGCACAACACAGCTGTTTATTAATCTCTTGAGGTTGAAGAGATGCCATTACAAGTCTGAAAATGGGAATCCAAAACCAAAAACTTTAAAAACAGAAAACAAAAACCCATGAAATACCAGGATAACTGTAAAAGTAATAGTGGACCAGATTAATAATGTTCATGCACGACTTGCACATCTAAGTAACATCTGTTACTATTAGCAGGGATAACACAACATTAAAATTAAAGAAAAATTTTCTGTTTCTTAAATGAGTTATAGAGTCACAAAGGGAGGTTTGGGAGAAAGGAAATGCTATGGAAACACAGCATTTCTTTTTCAAGTTCTCCCAAACTTTCACAAGTGTTTCTATATTTAACAATTAGATTTTTATTGTGTGATAGTTGACGAGGGTGCAGCCTGAATCAACAATTAT